TCACCCCTCCTGTGAGTCATGTGATCCTCCATATGTAAAATGAGTGGGCATTCTTCAGTTTCCCAGCCTGGACTGAAGTGACTGGTCCTGAGGGAGGATTTATAGAAGACATCTGTGTCATCTTTGATGGTCTTGGGCACTCAGATGCTGCCCCCGGATTTCTTGGGTCTCTCGTAAGCACACAAGTGCATGTTGGCTGAGACAGGCCAATGGTGGACAAGATATCACAGGGTCGGCAGTGAGTGATAATTTATCAAATCTTCCCATAGGGCCACAAACAATGTTCTAGGAACTTGTTTCACACTTAGCCTCGATGAGGGCTTGGCCTACAAAGCCCCAAGGAGGCATGGTTATCCTGGCTTTCAAAAGCTGTCTGCGTCTGGTGACTGCCTTTCTACCATGTTTCCGAGGCCAGCCACAGGTTGTAAGTCTGTTCTGAAAATCTGCAGCAAGAGAATGTGGCTTAGCTTAATTCTTTGTTTGGGTTTTTGTTGGGTATTATTTGTTTTGGGTGTTTTGGTTTTATTTGTTATTGTTTGAAATTTTGTTCTTTCTTTAGTTCTTGTTGCATTGGCATTTTGTTAAGGGTTCTCACTGTTTATAGTGACTGTATTTTTCTTAATAAAAGAGGGATTTCCAACTCTTCTCTCTTAGAACCAATTTCTTTGGTCAGGTATGGTGTCTCACTGCAGTAACCCCAGACCTCCTCTAACACCACAACCCTTGTGTGCCTAGATTCGGCTACATAGCTCCCTGCCAGCTAAGGTTACACAGGGGAATCGTGGCTTGGATGTGGGCGGTCTTGTCAACTCCTTGAATAGATTGTATCCACACTGTATCCTTGTTGCCATGTATTTACCTATTTTGTGTACACATTTCATCAAATAATCATCTGGACCAAGTTAATGAGAAACACAATAGTATCACTCTAATGCCTCTCAGGAAATGAAACAAGAGAGTATGAAATAAATCCGTGGTCTGATTGCCACTATGAGTCATGATGATGTCCCTCACTGGGGTGTTGCCAAGGGCCATGTCTTGGTCCATGGACTTGACACAGCTGTGGGATTCTCTGTCGCCGTCCTTGACTCCTGTAACCACTGAGGGCCTTGCAGCCACCTGCAATCTGGGCCACCAGCTGTGACCATTTTGGTGTCAAATGGCTATGTCTACATTGGGCATGTGTATCTCACAGGCCTGTGCTATCACCCAGGACCATAGTGACATCTGGGCTGGGACTATTGTGAGGGCTATATCTGGGTCTATGGCCCTGGGGCATCCAGGGTCTGTGTAGATGTCCCAAGCTCCTGCTGCCCTCAAGGATAGTGTGGGTGACTGGAGTCTGGGCCACCACTTGGGGCCATGCTGCTGCTGGGTCCATGCCTATCTGAGTGACCCCCATATCCAACCAGGGCCATGGTGACATCCAGGCCCATGCTGCAGCCAAGGACCATATTAGTGTACAAGGGCTGTGCTTCTTTAAGGGCCATACAGATCTGAGTGTCTTTGCTGCCACCAGAGAGGCCCTGGTGACCTCCAGGGGCCTAGGCTACTGCCAAGGGCTATATCTGGATCCATTGATCTGTCAGAGCCTTGGTCTATGCTGATGTTGGTGGCTCCTGTTTCTACTGAAGACAAGCTAGGGATGCAAAGAGTTAACACCTCACTTTGCTGGCTGTGGCCCTAGGGAGAACTGACCCAGGTGCTCACCAACTATAGCACTGGGGAGAGTGAGTCCTGCACCTGGACTGAGCAGCACAGTGGAATTGACGGGGGGGGGGTTGGGGAGCACTGGTGGCCCTGCCTTGAGGGTGTGAGAGCAGAGGAGCCCACTTCTTCCTTGTATTGGCAAGGGTGAGGGAAAGACGCCTGCCCCACCTGAGCACAGCCCGCCTGCAGGTGGCGGGGGAGCTGGCATCTGGGTCATGGGAATGGGATAGCTGGACCAGCCTCTCACCAGCTGCAGCAATTGGGAGAGTAGGCCCTCCGCCTTACCGGGGTCAAACAGTAGAGCTGGCCCTTTGTGGTCTTAACGTGTGTGGGCCGGATGGGAGCAGGAGAACCGGCCTCTTTCCTTTTCCTCCCGTATGGGGTGAACTGGCCGGAGCCGCGCTGAAGAGCTTGCCTGGGTGTTCAGATGAGGAAAGGTGTGGGCGACCAAACGGGCACAACCCAGGCCCTCCGTGACACAGGCAACAACAGGACACCGAGAAGAGAGTAAGCGAAGGTCATCTGTAGTGTGGAGGAGCCAGAGGCCTGCGGCACTTAGAAGAAAAGACGTAGGGACGGAAGGGTACGCTGTGCGACAGCCCCATCGCCTAGACTTTCATTCGCTTTTAATTTGGGGTTTGGAGTGCTGCTTTCACTTTTTTGTTTGGGGAGGTTTAAAGAGCCAAGCGCAGACACCAGGGAATGCGTAGGAGGAGCAGTCGGATTGGGAGCATGATGTGAAACCAGCGGAGAGTCTATACAAATGCTTAAAAAGAGATTAGGTGAACCAAAGCTATCTGTGTCTGTTTCCTTTAAATTTAACATCTGGAATAACCACAAGCAGAGTGAATTCTGAGATTTTGTGGCATCGCTTTTAGTGCTGTCGGCCTTAACACTGCAATTTTTTAAACGATGTATTACTTTTTCTTACATGTATGTGTGTTTTGCCTGCTGAGGGCTATACTCTACTTGCATGTAATTCCACAAGCGGCCAGAAGAGGGAATCAGATTCCACCTGAAACTGGAGGCTTTCCGCTTCTCCGTTGGCCTTTTAGGAGAAAGACATACTCAAAGGGAGGAGCCGTCTCCCCAGCCCTGAACTTGACTTCTGTCCTTCTCTCCACGTGTGCTCTATCAGATGTAGCGGATCACCCCCAAGCAGAGAGAAATGGCAGGAGACCAGCAGGGACAAATGCATGATGTAGGCATGCTAATTGCCTTACAATGCCAGACACCCACACAAGCAATCCATGGTTTCAAGACCCTGCCCCACTAAAATCAAACACACCAATGACAGTTTATACTGGAGAGGATGTGGAGAAAGGGGAACACTCCTCCACTGCTGGCGGGAGTGCTGATTTGTGCAACCACTTTGGAAATCAGTATGGAGATTCCTCAGGAAAATGGGAATCTACTACAAGATCCAGCAATTCCACTCTTATTCATATACCCAAAAGATGCACATTCATACAACAAGGACATCTGCTATGTTCACAGCACCATTATTTGTAATAGCCAGAACCTGGGAGCAACCTAGATGCCCCTTAACTGAAGAATGGATGGACAAAATGTGGTACATTTACACAATGGAGTACTACTCAGCAGGAAAAAAATGGAATCTTGAAATTCGCACAGAAGAAACCATCCTGAGTGACATAACCCAGTCACAAAAAGAGAAACATGGTATGTACTCACTCATATATGGATTTTAGACATAGAGCAAAGGATTTCCAGCTTATAATCCACACCACCAGAGAAGCTAGGGAACAAGGAGGACCCTATGAAAGACATACATGGTCCCCCCAGAGAAGGGGAAAGGGACAAGATCTCCTGAGCAAATTGGGGGCATGGGGCGGGGGAGGGAAGAGGGAGTTAGGAGAAAGAGATGAGGAGGGGAGAGGAGATATGAGGGAGCAGGAAGATTGAGACAGGAGAAGATTAGAGGAGAGCAAGAAAAGAGATGCCATAGTAGAGGCTTAAAGAGAAATCTGGCACTAGGGAAATGTCCAGAGATCTAAGGATGACCAACTAACAATCTAAGCAATAGTGGAGAGGTTACCCTAAATGCCCTTCCCTGATAATGAGATTGATGACTGCCTTATATGCCATCCTAGAGCCTCATCCAGTAGCTGATGGAAGCAGAGGCAGACACCCACAGCTAAACAGTGACCAAACTCCTGGAATCCAGTTGCAGAGATGGAGGAGTGATGAGCAAGGGGGTCAAGACTAGGCTGGAGAAACCCACAGAAAAACCTGACCTGAACAACAGGGTAGCTCATGGACCCCAGACTGATAGCTGGGAAACCAGCATAGGACCAACTCAGACCCCCTGAATATGAGTGTCAGTTAGGAGGTGTGGGCAATCTATGGGGCCTCTGGTAGTGGATCCGTTTTTATCCCTGGTACACGAATGGACTTTGGGAGCCCATTCCACATAGAGGGATGCCCTCTCAGTGTAGACACTCAGAAGAGGGCCTAGGTCCTGCTCCAAATTATAGAACAGACTTTCAAAATCCCTCATGGTAGGCCTCACCCTCCCTTGGGAGCAGTAAGGGAATGGGATAGGGGTTCGGTGGGGGCAGGGGAGGAGCGGCGTGGGGACACCAGACCTTGAACAGAGACCCACTTCCCCTTCGGCCTGGGAGCAGGCAGCTGTGAGATAATGTTTACTGAAAACAATTCAGTGCTATAAAGCTCTTGATAGGGCTCAGATAAGGGCTGGCTCACTGAAACACCACGACTTTGACACCCCCTACCGCTATATGCTTCTTCCTGTTCCACCTGCTGTTTCTCCCCGATTCTGGGGCCAGAGATTAAACCACCAGCCAGGAGGGTGATCTCTTAGGTTTCCTTTCTTTTTTGACCTTTGTCAGGCAAGGGCCTAGACATTTAATTTGGTACCCCTAGCTTGGTACCCCCTTTTTAATACATCCTTATAAAAGTGAGGGCAGCCATCAAAGCTATCCCTGTTGTGTCTGTGCCCAAAGCAAGTCATCTTCTTAGGGAAGGAGACACGTTTTCAGTGACATGCACCATAAAAGATGTGTCTAGTTCCGTGGGCTCGATGTGGATAAAGGGGAACACTCAGGCTAAAGCACAGGTAAAATGCAGTAGCTGGCATCTGGGTGACTTCGACTATGAACGCCAGGAGACACTGACTATCGGCTCAGCGAGAGTTAAAGATTCTGGAGTGTTCATGTGTTATGCTAATAATACTTTTGGATCAGCAAATGCCACAACAACCTTGAAAGTAGTAGATAAAGGGTTCATCAACATCTTCCCTGTGAAAAACACTACAATTTTCGTAAACAATGGAGAGAATGTAGATTTGGTTGTTGAGTATGAAGCCTACCCCAAACCTGAATACCACCAGTGGATATATATATGAACAGGACCGCCACTAACAAGGGGGAAGATTATCTCAAATCCGATAACCAAAGTAACATCAGATATGTGAACGAGCTCCATCTGACCAGGTTAAAAGGCACAGAAGGAGGCACTTACACCTTTCTGGTGTCCAAGTCTGATGTCAGCGCTTCCGTGACATTTAACGTTTATGTGAACAGAAAGCCAGAGGCCCTGGCGTCTGAGAGGCTCACAAATGGCATGCTCCAGTGTGTGGCAGTGGGATTCCCGGAGCCCACAATAGACTGGTATTTCTGTACGGGAGCAGAGCAAAGGTGTACCGTTTCTGTCCCACCAGTGGATGTACAGATCCAGACCGCTTCTGTGTCTCCATTTGGAAGACTGGTGGTTCAGAGTTCCATAGACTCCAGTGTCTTCCGGCACAATGGCACAGTGGAGTGTAAGGCCTACAACGATGTGGGCAAGAGTTCTGCCTTCTTTAACTTTGCATTTAAAGAGCAAATCCAGCCCCACACGCTGTTCACACCGCTGCTCATTGGCTCCGTGGTCACAGCTGGCATAATGAGCATCATTGTGATGGTTCTTGCCTACAAATATTTACAGAAACCCATGTATGAAGTACAATGGAAGGTTGTCGAGGAGATAAATGGAAACAATTATGTTTACATAGACCCGACACAACTTCCTTATGATCACAAATGGGAGTTTCCCAGAAACAGGCTGAGTTTTGGGAAGACGTTGGGTGCCGGTGCCTTCGGGAAGGTTGTTGAAGCCACTGCATATGGTTTGATTAAGTCGGATGCTGCCATGACAGTCGCGGTGAAGATGCTCAAACCAAGTGCCCATTTAACGGAAAGAGAGGCCCTCATGTCAGAACTGAAGGTCCTGAGCTACCTGGGCAATCACATGACTATCGTGAATCTCCTTGGAGCCTGCACTGTGGGAGGGCCCACCCTGGTCATTACAGAATATTGTTGCTATGGTGATCTCTTAAATGTTTTGAGAAGAAAACGTGATTCATTTATTTTCTCGAAGCAAGAAGATCAGACAGAAACGGCACTTTATAAGAGCCTCCTGCATTCAAAGGAGACTTCCTGCAGTGACAGTACAAATGAGTACATGGACATGAAGCCTGGAGTTTCCTATGTTGTACCAACCAACAGACAAAAGAAGGTCCACAAGAATAGACTCGTATATAGAAAGAGATGTGACTCCTGCCATCATGGAAGATGACGAGCTGGCTCTGGACCTGGAAGATTTGTTGAGCTTCTCCTACCAAGTGGCCAAGGGCATGACGTTCCTTGCCTCCAAGAATTGTATTCACAGAGACTTGGCAGCCAGGAACATCCTTCTCACTCATTGTCGGATCACAAAGATTTGTGACTTTGGTCTAGCCAGAGACATCAGGAATGATTCGAATTATGTGGTTAAAGGAAACGCCCGACTGCCCGTGAAGTGGATGGTACCAGAGAGCATTTTCAATGGATGGTACCAGAGAGCATTTTCAACTGCGTGTACACATTTGAAAGTGACGTCTGGTCCTATGGGATTTTCCTGTGGGAGCTGTTCTCTTTAGGAAGCAGCCCCTACCCAGGGATGCCAGTCGATTCCAAGTTTTACAAGATGATCAAGGAAGGCTTCCGGATGCTGAGTCCGGAACATGCCCCTACAGAAATGTATGACGTAATGAAGACTTGCTGGGATGCCGACCCCCTGAAAAGGCCGACCTTCAAGCAGGTTGTGCAGCTCATTGAGAAGCAGATCTCAGAGAGCACCAAGCATATTTACTCCAACTTAGCAAACTACAATCCCAACCCGGAGAACCCCGTGGTGGTGGACCATTCTGTGAGGGTCAATTCCGTCGGCAGCAGCGCTTCTTCAACCCAGTCCTTGCTCATGCACGAAGACGCCTAAGCACAAGTCACGGCCAGCAGGCTTCCCTGCTGTGTCTCCCCGATTCTGGGGCCGGAGATTAAACCACCAGCCAGGAGGGTGAGAAGTCTGGGAGAGCTGTGAGAACTCGGGAGGAATTATATGTAGATGGATGACAGAAGTCCTTGAAAAGGGAAGCGTTTTTTTCTTGGGGCTCTCCTCCTAAGCTGACTGGGGAAGCATAAAGTTTTCTTAAAGCAACCGACCAGTCTCTGTGTCATCTATCCCGACCACCTCGCTACATTCTCGGATGCAGGCTGCACAGCAGGTGCGACAGAGCGGAGGGGGAGGGAACTGGGATTGACATGTAAAACAAGCTTGTTCCTAATTTAAATTAAAAAAAAGATCCTGCCCCAGTGTCTCTTATTGTCAGGTTTGGAGCAGGTCTCTCACTTCTCATCCTGGATGACAAAGTAGATGAGGGCCGTCTGATGAAATACAGAGCCGAGAAGACCCTCCTGGTGGTGGAGGTGTGGTTAGCAGCCCCTCTTGATTCCCCAGCCAAACAGTGTTTAGAGGAAGCTTCATATTTGTCAGGGTGGATGGAGGCTGCAACAGCCACGTGCCTCTGATGAGTAAGGCTTATGAACTCCTAATGTTTATTCAGGCTAACAGAACTCTCTTGAAGGTGTTATTATGTCTAGCCTCATTGTCCTTCCCAACTTTATTAAGCTTTAGCCATTTTTAAATCCTTAGTTATACAAGAAACTGATATTCTCTAATGGTTCACACGGAAAGAATAAACAATAAACTTCCATTGTATGATGGTAATGGTTTATTTACTTTTTACATTTGATATTAACAATCTATATTAAACATTCAATACAAATTTTTATGACACAGCCTCCACAGGGATAAAATTTTAGAATCCTAATCATAGAAAAAGCTTCCAACTCATAAGTTGTTAAAGTCAATTTGCCCATATAAGTTAATGATCAGTCACCACATAAATGATCAAATTATGTAACATGCTCAGTTGTAGATTTTTATTTTAAGGTGTGTCGCACTGGGTTATTCTGTAGAACATTTGTGTTAATGATGCAAAGGTGTGTTGCATTCTTTTATGTTGCATTTGTTTAACTGTGAAGCTACTTTGCCTGTCTAAAACATCCCATGGTCTAATAAAGAGCTGAACAGACAATAGTGGGACAGGAGAAAGATAGGCGGGGCTGGCAGGCAGAGAGAATAAATGAGAGCGGGAATCTGGGAAGAGAGGAAGAAACGAGAAAAGAGGGTTGAAAGCAAGAGAACAAGGAGAGGAGGACTCTAGGGGCCAGCAACCCGCTACCCACAGAGCAAGAGTGAAAGTAAGATTTACAGAAGGAAAGGAAAAAGCCCAGAGACAAAATGTAGATGGGATAGTTTAGTTTCAGAAACGCTGGCTAGAAAGAATCCTAGCTAAGGCAGGGCATTCACAAGAAAGAGTAAGACTGCGTGTCTATTTATTTGGGAGCTGAGTGGAATTCCCAAAATATCCAAGATTAAAAGAGTAAGAACAACAACAATGCTCTAAGCTATGCTTGCAGTCATACTATGTACAAATGTAATAATTTACAGGGACAGCTTCCACTAGAATCTGTTCATATTTTCACATTTATGGGTAAAGCAATGACTAAACATGAGTGAGGTTCGTTCACATAGGCAGTTTACCTTCATGCTAAGAGAAACAAACTCACAAGACAGCTTTCAATGTAGCTTCTTACTATTCCTTTATTTAAAGGAACTTGCTTTGCAACAAGGTAAATACAATAGTAAATCCAAATCTATTAAAACGTGACACTTAGACAGAACTGCTGGCCCCTTTATCTCCAGACAACACAGAACAAAGACCTTGCCGAGGTGAAAAGCCAGAAGCAGCCTGAACTCAGGTTTTTGGCAGGAGGCTTGTCTAAGGGCTTGGTGCAATGAGTTGTGTGTTACTGAGACTCTAGGTGCTTTCCCTGCTGATGCCTGGTCCAGTGACACACCTGTCCATTGGGGTGTTACAGTCCTAGCAAAGGAAGTTTTTGTTTTGATTTTAACATAAAAATGGGGACATTTTCATTTTATGTCTTCCAGAGAATGGATGAGAATACATCACCCATATACTTTGCATTTGTGATTATCAAATGTTAATTTTTAAAATTTATATTATTGCACAACAGAAAAATTTAAAAAATAACAATGTGAACAAGCTTAGGATGGGTTTGTTTTGGGGGCGTTTTTTGTTTGTTTGCTTGGTTTGGTTTTTTTTGTTTTTTGTTTTTTTCTCTCAGGACATTATTTATTCTTCTATTTTTTCCTCTTTTTTATTAGTTTATTTTTTACATTCCAATCCCAGTACATGCAATCAGTACAAGTTAGAGAATTTGGTAGTGTTCTCCTAAAACCATTCATTCTCACTTATTGACTATGTAGAGATCTATGCTCAGAACTCACTATAGGCATGCATGGTGTCTCTTCTAGCTAGTCAGCTGCAGAGTGCAACCTGCGTTTATTTAGCACGGGGCGCTGACATCTCCACAAAATACCATTGTGTCATATCTAAGACTTGACTCTGTCAAATGGCTCTTTCTGCATGTCCTTTCTAGGACTCCCATTAAACTGAAAAAAGGTAATGGTCCTGCTTTTACTAGCAAAGGGTATAATGAATTTTACAGCTATGGATTATTAATCATGTTTTCTTAATTTTTTATTCAAATTAGAAACAAGCTTGTTTCACATGTCAATCCTAGCTCCATCTCCCTCCCCTCCTCCCCTGCCCCCCATGAGACCCCTCCACCCCATCCGTGGAGGAATCTCCAAAGTCTGTCATATCATCCAGGGAAGGGCCTAGACCCTTCCCATGTGTCCAGGCTGGGAGAGCATCGCTTCATGTGGCATGGGCTCTCCAAGCCCATTCATACCCATTCATACGCCAGGGATAAATACAGATCTGCTACCTGAGGCCCCGTAGATTACCAAGGCCTCCTCACTGGCACCCACTTTCAGAGGGTCTGGATCAGTTACATGCTGGTCTCTCAGGCATCAGTCTGGGGTCCGTGAGCTCCCCCTTGTCCAGATCTGCGGATTTCACCAGCCCAGTCTTGACCCCTTTGCTCATCACTCCTCCCTCTCTGCAACTGGGTTCCAGGAGTTCAGTTCAGTGTTTAGCTGTGGGTGTCTGCTTCTGCTTCCATCAGCCACTGGATGAAGGTTCTAGATTGGCATATAAGGTAGTCATCAATCTCATTATCAGGGAAGGGCATTTAAGGTAGCCTCTCCACTACTTCTTGGTTTGCCAGTTGGTGTCATCCTTGTAGATCTCTGGAAATCTCACTAGTGCCAGATCTCTCCTCAAACCTATAATGGTTCCCTCTATTATGGTATCTCTCATCCTGCTCTCCTCTATTCTTACCCCCACTCAACCTTCCTGCTCTCCCATGTCCTCCTCTCCCCTCCTCTTCACCCCTTTTCTTTCTCCCAGCTCCCTCTCCCCTCCCCACATGCTCCCAATCTGTTCAGGAGATCTTGTCCCTTTCCCATTCTCTGGGGTATCTTGCATATCTCTCCTAGGGTCCTCCCTGTATCCCAGATTCTATGGTAGTGGGATTGTATGCTGGCACTCCCCTGCTCAATGTTTAAAATCCATACATGAGTGAGTACATACCATGCTTGTCATTTTGTGACTGGGTTATCTCACTCAGAATCCATTTGCCTATAAATTTCAAGATTCCAGTGTTTTTTTTCCAGTGAGTAATACTCCATTGTGTAAATGTACCACATTTTCTCTATCCACCCTTCAGTTGAGGGGCATCTAGATTGCTTGCTGGTTCTGGCTATTACAAATAATGCTGCTATGAACATAATGGAGCAGACATCCTTGTTATCTGAATGTGCAGCTTTTAGGTAGATGCATATGAGTAGAATTGCTGGATCTTGTGGTAGACTGATTCCCATTTTACTGAGGAATATCCATACTGATTTCCAAAGTAGCTGTACAAGTTTGCACTCCCACCAGCAATGTAAGAGTGTTCCCATTTCTCCACATCCTCTCCAACATAAACTGTCATTGGTGATTTTTATTTTAGCCATTCTGACAGGAGTAAGATGGTATCTCAGAGTTGTTTTGATTTGCATTTCCCTGGTGGATAAGGATGTTGAGCACTTTCTTAAGTGTCTATCAGCCATTTTAGACTCCTCTACTGAGAATTCTCTATTTAGTTCTGCACCCTATTTTTTAGTTGGCTTATTTGGTGTTTTGGAGACTAGTTTCTTGAGTTTTTTGTAAGTTTTGGAGATCAGTGCTCTCTCAGATGTGGGGTTGGTGAATATCTTTTCCCATTCTGTGGGCTGCCTTTTTGTCTTGCTGACTGTGTCCTTTGCCTTACAGAAACTTCTCAGTTTCAGGAGGTCCATTAATTAATTGTCAATCTCAGTCTCTGTGCTATTGGTGTTATGCTCAGGAAGCAGTCTCCTGTACCAATTTGTTCAAGTGTATTTCCCACTTTCTCTTCTAAGAGGTACAGTGTGGCTGGATTTATGTTGAGTTCTTTGATCCATTTGGACTTAAGTTTTGTGCATGGTGATGGATATGGATCTATCTGCAGTCTTCTACATGCCAGCATCCACTTATGCCAGCACCATTTGTTGAAGATGCTTTCTTTTTCCCATTGTATAGTTTTAGCTTCTTTGTCAAAGATCAGGTGTTAATAGGTGTGTGGGTTAATATCAGGGTCTTCAATTCTATTCCATTGGTCTACCTGTCTAATTTTGTGCCAATACCGAGCTGTTTTCATTAATGTAGCTCTATATAGAGCTTGAAGTCAGGGATGGTGATGCCTCCTGAAGTTCCTTTATTGTACAGGGTTGTTTTGGCTATCCTGGGTCTTTTGTTTTTCCACATGAAGTTGAGAATTGTTCTTTCAAGGTCTGTGAAGAATTGTGCTATGATATTGATGGAGATTGCATTTAATCTGTACATTGCTTTTGGTAAGATTGCCATTTTTACTACATTGATCCTACCTATCCAAGAGCATGGGAGATCTTTCCAATTTCTGGTATCTTCTTTAGTTTTTTAAATGTCTCAAAGTTCTTGTCACACAGGTCTTTTACCTGTTTGGCTAGAGCT